AAAAACAATGGCAATGTCATATGTATCACTAGAAAGTTTTTTTAAAAAAAATTATAGATAATAAATTTACATAGAAAACCTGGAAAAAATATACAAATATTCATTAAAAAAACTACAAAAATATATACAGAAAATAGATATAAAAAACCAGTAATAATTACAGTAGATTTTAATATTGACTACTAAAAAGAAGAAGCAAAACCACTTCAAACAACAATGGAGAAAGAAGGATACATACAAATAATATAACATAATACACATAATAATAAATTAATAAAGAATATATGGATAAAAGATATAATATGTACAAAAGCAGGAATAGCACCTGCATATTAGACATATCATAACAAATTATATATCCTAATAAAAGATATTTAAAAACAAAAGCAAACCAAGAATTGCTACAATGCAACACACAGCAGTTTTATTTGTTAATATACCTCTTATAAAGTTTTGAATACTAATTAAATGAGAACAAAATGGGGGAATTGTATTCATATAAAAAATTATTGATAATTAGTTTTTTTTAAGAAATTAATTTTTTAAGTAGGCAAAGAAATGGTGGAGAAGTTTATATCTATTTTATTTATGTTATGGATATAAATCCTTTAAGGTTTTTGAACCTTCATTATCCAAATGATAAAAAAAACCTAATCTTTATAACTAAATGTGACACATTTTAAAACTTTATAATAATTTTGCATTTATAATTTAAAAATTAAATCAGATAAATTTTGCTACATTTATTCATTTGAGTCTTAATTGTATTTAAATGATGATGAATGTGAAATCTCTCTAAGGGAGATAATTTTTTTTTCAAAATGTTTAACAATTTACATAAATGCCATCTTTTTCTTTTATGAGAAAATGTATGATATAGTGGTAAAATGTTATTAAATTTGTGTTCATTTATGTTTTTGTTTTAGAATATTTTATATAAACATATTTTTAGTATTATTTCAAATATTGTTTTAATGCATTTCTCCCATGACAGTTAAAACGTTAGAAGCCAAAAAGCTAGTTGAGGGAGGCATATCAACTATGTGAGTTCTTGTTAAGCTTTCTATCAATCTAGACTGCAATATGGACTGTAGCAGTGGGCACAACTGAACACCACCTAGATAAACTATTTGCACAAGAATGCCATCACCAATTGCCTTAAGCACTGTGTCCATCTTAAGAAGTGAATTTGAGCCATTCAGGCTGTTGATGCAGTCAATGATGATCCCCTTGAGCTCGGGCGAGTACCCAACAACGTTCCAAATCATTTGGTCATATTCTTTTGACACCAAGATCCACTTCTTTACTTGTCCAGCTCCTGCCACTGTTGAAACGACCTTACACTCCTCCGTTGTAAAACTTCACAACAGCATCCCGAGTCCCTTGTGCCCTCATGTCAAGGAATATATGTCAAGCGCAAGCAATCTCAGCTATTCTTCATGCTCGCATTTGTCTGGAATACCCTCTGCCTTTGAGAAAACTACATGCCAGTTAGAGGCATACATCGAAGACCATTGACAGAATCCCCTCCACTGTCAGGTTCCAGGTTTCTTTGCTTACATCCCTTGTGAGAGGTGATGGAGGAAGCTTACACCAAACGCTGACCTGGACATCAGTCACCATGTCAAACTAAACCCTAAACCTTTCTTCTTTCTCCTTTTAAAAAATATTTATCGGACAACTTTTATTGAATTTTAAAACTTGGGCGGGACTATGGAATTTAGGGCAAATGGCAGACGAGGAGGACGGCGACCCAGCACCACCAGAAGCCGCGGCGCCACCGTCGGCGCCACCGCCCCGCCAGGGCATCACTGTTGCCTCTTCTTCGGGCCTCGCGCGCCGCCCGTCCCAGCGCGGCATCCTCATGGCAATGCAGCAGCGCAGCCGGAACGCGGCGCTCACGGGATTGCTCCAGGCTAGGGTAATGTGGTCGGTCATCAATCTCCCCAGTGGCGTGATCCGCCGGAGCTCCAGCCTCGTCCACAATGCCGTGGGATTGGCGGAAGGCGCACTGGGCGCGCTGGGCGATCTCGCCAAGAACACCGGCGCCACTGGCGGATTCGTGGTCCAGCAGGCGATCCAGGGCGGCCGCCTCCTCCTCGACGCCGGCGGCATCGGCCGCGGCCAGTCGCGAGCGCCGCCAGTGCGCAGGACCTTCGCCGGCTCCATGGAAGCCATGACGTTCGTGCGCAACTTCGACATGGAATTCGGCCATGGCCGACCGGATTTCGAGAAGTCGAGCTTCGTGGAGGCGGTGTCCCGGGCCGTCCAGGATTACAAGCTCATGTTTGCGTACCTCCACTCATCCGAGAACGCGGGATCTCTCGAGTTTTGCCGGAGAACTCTGTGCTCGCAGGAGGTGGTGGAGTTTGTCAACGCCAACTTTGTGTCGTGGGGAGCGGACGTCCGGAGCAGCGAAGGCTTCCAGATGAGCATAAGCTTGCGAGCTCCTGGTTTTCCTTTTTGCGCTGTCGTTGGAGCGTCCTCGCCACAGCATTTGTTGGTGTTGCAACAGGCAGGTACTTGGCTCGCTTTTTCCACGCTTTCTTTTTTTTTTTCGTCCTGATTCTTTGTGATATTTTTCCCTGGCCAACTTTTGCTTTGTGTTCTTTGTTGGTCTTCTTCCCTTTGTCTGACGCCTAGCTTTTTCTCCTCTGTTTTATTGTTCTTCCCCCTTGGCTTGGCTGGCTGGTTTTTCATGTTATTGTTCTCATGTGTTTCCTTTTTCAAAGGTGAATGGTCAAATGTCTGGGCTGGAGCTGATTTCCACGCTGCGACGAGTTCTAAAACAGCACGGTGGAGCCCTCTCGGTTGCACGATCTGAACAAGCCGAGATTGCAAAGTACCGGCGTTTACGTGATGCAGCAGCGAATCAGGCCTTGTTGGTCCAAGTAAGATATACAATTCCTTCTTTCTGTCCTTGTCTCGTTCTTTTCTTCCTTTTTCATGGAGAGATAGAAACAAAAGAGAAAAAAGATGATATCTTCGCTATCTTAGTATTATATGTCTCGGCACTTCTCACCTCGTTGCCCCTGCTCGTGGTTGGAACAGGCGCGGTCACCGCAGCAGGGGGTCCACGACAAGAAAGCCAGTGATTCCGAGGAGAGCAACAACAAGAAGAAGAGCGTGGCTCCTGCTCCGAGGCGGCGGAAATGGTTCTTTCTCAAGAGCTGAGGCAAGCTTCGATCAAGGTGAGAGTTTGTTCGCAGGGTTAGAAACTAAGTTTGTTTTCTCTCTCGGTGTTTCTACCGCTGCAGCGATCATGCGGCGGGGAAAAGAATGTCCGGCTCCAATTGGGGCGCGATTAAAGAAAGGCCGGTCAAACAAGCAAGCACAGCTAAGCTCGATTGATTCGAGCGGGCGAGCGAGCAAGGGAACAAAAAAAAAGGAAAAGGTTGTAAGTTGCTCGCTAAAAGCTGAGTCGAGTTGGTTGCTCGAGAACTTAACTCGCACTGAATTTGGATCTCGTCGCAACTGCCAATGAAGAACACATGCGCTGAATTGATTGGACGATTCTTCTCTCGTCTCGCAACTTTCTCCGCATTATAGAGAGATGTACGCTTTGGAGCTAATGCTGGTACGGCCGTCGCCTAGTTGCCCCAGCCACGGCCGTATGGTTCTATCTCCACGCACAGTCCATTGAACGATTCAACCATCTTTTTTTCTCGCTTTGGTTTTGCTTGCTTTGGACAAAGAGAAAAAGGAGATACACATTGATATCTCGGCTCATCATCGCATCGCAGCCTCCCCCGTGCCCACTTTGACTCTGAACTCCGCCACCTTACTTGATGCCGGGGTGATCAGCGACATGCATGACGTAGCAAGCAAGCCCCTGCCACCTTTTACAATATTAAATACAATTTCCTGGCTCATTGTCAACACAAACACCATCATCATCTTGCATAGCAATTGCAATCCCTCGTCAGGCTTGAATGGGGAGGGAGTAGAAGAAGAATGAGAAGCTTTTGCTTGTGGGCAAGAAAGAGCATCACTTTCTCTGGGAATTTGACTTTGATTTGTTGCAAGAGAGAGGGATTTCAAGGAAAGGCCTGCTACTTTCTGCTACTGTTGTTGCTGCTGCTGCTGCTGCTGGCTGGAAGAAGAAAGAGAAAAAAGAGAAAGCAAGAAAATAAAAGGTGGTGTGCAATTAAGTAAATGGGGGCTTCCAAAAGCAGGTCTCTTTCCAGCTCATGCACTGTTGTGTTTAATCCAGACCACCATTAATCCAGAGGGTTTGGTTGGCGTGCCATTTTACCACTAGATAGCCCCCCCAACCCCCCTTTTTCAATCAAGTTACCACACCAGTCAACATTGTCTCTTCACTTTTGAAGTGGACTCTCCATCCATTCCATTCCACATTTCATGGGAAAAAAATCTGCAGAGAAAGGCCAGCATTTTTCTTAAGAGCAGGAGTGTGACCATACAATTGGGCTAGTTCAATTGTTTCAATGTTGGCTATCAAACTTGGCCATGATCCTTCTTGGCTCTACAAGTTACAACTATGGATTTCATACTCTTGAACTATGCCACTTTCAACTCTGCAACTCCCCCAAGAAGCACTTAGGTGCCTTCACTCATGAAACTACAACCAAATTTACTACATTGCCCGAATCCCATGAATTCTAACAAGTTTCACTCCCTCTCTTGCTTGCTTGCTTATAAGTTGTAATAACTCTCTCCCATCCCACCAAACTCTGAAAGCTCTGTGGACTTTCTTTGCGTCTTGCCCTAGACAAAGCTTGGGAAAAAGTCCCATGCGCGTCCAATGTGGCCTGGCTGGCTGGCTACACAACACACACACGAGCTTTTGTCTTGGTGTTTAAGCATTAGGGCGCCATATGTGTTGGTCACGTGGCAAGTATCATGCCCACGTCACTTCTACGTGGACCAGCCAAGATTTCGAGCTCTCGTTTGAATCAACACCAAATCTCGTCTCAATATATCCAAACAAACGAGCATCTATGTAAAACAAGCTTTGTTGCATATCAAGATCCAGGCTATGATCCAAAGCATGATGATATTATAGATTTCAAAGTTTTTTAGTATGGTTGGTGGTCTGGACACTTCGTTTTCTTTTTGCCAAATCATGCCATGCTGCTACTGGGATATCGATCGATCGATCGATCGAGAGGGTGTCTAGCAGCAGCAGCAAGTGTGCAAACAGTGGGATCTCTTCTCTCTCTCTCTCTCTCTCTCGCTCGCTCGATCGATCGATCCATCCAAAAGAAGAGGATGGTTCTAATCCAAGCTCTCGATGATCAATGCACGCCATTGGAGTTCGCCCACTGCGGCCGCACGGGCGACCACTTTGGCAACCGGGGACTGAAGTAGCTGCTCACCACCCGGGCATTGAGGAGCTCTACGATGGGCGTGAACTTGACGCAGCGCGGGGTCTTGTACTGGTTGATGGAAGCCCCGCGGCTGAGCGCGTAGTCCATGAGCTGATCGAAAGTCCCCGGCTTCACCACCTTGATCTCTAGAGGACCGATGCTTCGATCCGAGGCTCTCCCCTGCCGGTAGACGCTGTCCAGCGATTCCTCGATGGCCAGGCAGCACTCCTCGAGCACGTCCTTCGGGATGGGCGAGGAGCTCCGGAGCTCCCAGAAGAGGACGTAGTGGCCGGGGATGGTGGTGGTGTCGGCGTAACTCGTGTACTCGATGAGCCGGGCGCCGTAGCTGGACTCGATGCCCGCGGTGGCGCTGCGCACGGCCTTGGCTAGATCCTCCTCGCCCGTCTTGTCCGAGTCGATGCTCAGCACGACGTTCTTGCGGCACACGAAGGCGAATTGGGGCGCCGAGTTGTGGAAGCCCGTGACGCGGAGGATGTCGCCCACGCGGTACCGGCACAGCCCTGTCGAATCAGACGGCGTGATCATCAGCCTTGGAGGATCCCCACAAAAGAAGAGAGAAAGCAAAGGTGGTGACCAGAGTAAACTCAGCTATGGCTGCCAAGAACACACATATAGCACACCCACTGTCACGATCAATCAATCAATCAATCAATCAATCAATCCGCCAAAGGAAAGCTTAGAAGCTTCCCTCTATCAGTCGAGATCGATGATCTTACCTGCGTAGGTGGTGATGACGAGCTCGTACTCGTGACCCATCTTCACGTCCACGAGCTCCACCAGCTCGGACGGATCCGGCACCCTGGCCGCCTTGCTCTTGCCGCTCTTGGGCTTGATCTTCTTCTTGGCAACGTTATCGTCCTGGTCGGATGAGGAGGAAGCCGCGGAGTCCTCGTCGGAATCATGGTGGAGCACGGGCAAGAACTCAAAGTACGCCATGTTGGGCAGCAGAGTGTACGAGACTTCCGATGGCGGGCACAGCGGCTGGAGATTGATCCCAAAGTAGCACTCAGAGGAAGCGTACATGGTGCACACGAGCGGCAGCCCCCCGGAGTAGTAGTCGAGCGTGGGGATGTACTGCGCCATGGTGCCGGTGACGATCACGTCGATATACTTGGTGTTTGGCCACAGCCGCGCGATGATGCCGGCCCATGACTCCTTGCGGCACTGCTCGGCGATGTCGTCGGCCAGCGCCGGGTCGGGGCGTGGCATGAGCGCCAGCACCGCGCGGCGCGCCGCTGCGTCCACAACCAGCTCGTTGAGCCCGCCCGCGCGGATGTCGTCGCACAGCTCCCGCCAGTGGGTCTCGAGGAAGCGGATGGCGCGCAGGAATCCCGAGGCGAAGACCGCGCCCATGCGAAGAACTTCGTGGCGCTGGAGGAGGCCGCACAGGAGCTGGCAGTACATGCTCTGGTGCGCGTCGGGGCAGAGCACGGTCTCGTTGGGGCTCGTGTAGACGTTGCAGGGATCGTAGGGGCGCTCCGTGAAGTAGCGGCTCTTGTAGTAGCTGGTGAGCACCGGGCGCGCGAGGAGGCCGCCCGGGGTCTTGGCCTCGGATTTGATGAAGAAGAGGTACATCCCTTTGCCTTGATCCAGTCCCGGGAGATACCTGCGCAGCGCATGCACGAGTTTGTCAATCGCTAGCTCGAGCGCGATCAAGCTCGAGACCACACTCACTGGTTCATCACGGGCATGAGGAGGCTGTAGAGCAGGCAGCGGCGCTCGAATTCTTCCGAGATGGTGGGCATGAGTTTCCTCTGGCCAGCCGACGTTCCCGAGCTGGGAGGAGCAAAATTGTGAGTACCAACATCGAGATCGCCATCGCCCAACATCGCAAATGGAAAGAAGGATCGAGAATTTCTTTCTTACCTGGTGAGGAACTCGGAGATGGGATGGGCGGAGAGGATGGGCGAGGTGTCGCCATTGGCAATGCGTTGGATCTCGGGCTCGAGGTCCTCGTAGGTGATGACGGGCAGGCATTGGCGGAACGAGGCCTTGTCGGTGCGGCCATTGAGGCCGTGGCGTTTGAGGTACTCGGTGTGAGCATTGCGCTCCAGGATGGCCGACAGCACCGCCGACTGGACTTCCGCCGCCTCGCTCGTCACCTTCTCGATGAACTGCAAGGCTTGCTTCTCGCGCTCCTTGTGCTCCAGATTCATCTTGCCTTTGCGAAGTTGCTGCGAGTTTTGCGGGGGGCGCGTGTGATCTTCTCTCCTCTGCAACACTATATAGAGCTCAGATTATCGTTCCAGCGGTGAAATGCTTCATGCAATTCTCTTGACCCCTTCCACCACCATTACCAGCACCACCACACCACCACAGACAATGGATCAACAAGGAATGGATGTTCCAAATGATGAGGGGAGCCTAAAGGAGGGGCGCCAAGCACAAGAGACATACCACCACCACTAGCAAAAGAAAAGTGTGGAGGAAAAGAGAAGAGATCTCTATTGGCGAGCAGACGAGCGAGCAAGGGTGTTTGGCAGCCTATCTATGCCTAGAGCGTCGCTTTGTGTATAGACTAGAGCGTGTATATGTACGATCCAGTGGAGCGAGCGTGTGTGTTGTATTTGTAGGTAGTCCACGAGACCAAAAGCCCAGGGAAAAGCACACCGGCAAAGGGAGAAAAAGAGTGCTAGCGTCTTTGACAACAAGCAAGGGATATGGAGTGAAGTTCTCACTCGCTCAACTCGAGCTCTAACTTATTCACTCTGGGAAGAAAGATCACACACAAGCCTGAGAGACTGGAAGAGAAAGAAGAGATAAAAAGAGAGGAGTGTTTGAGCGAGGTGTTTACCACAAGGACGGATTTTATAGAGACGAAGGAGGGACCCTTCGTGAAAAATGAAAATAAAAAAGAGAGAGAAAAAGAGCTCTTTTTTTCTTCTTCTCGTTGCGGTGGGACCGAAGCGAACTAACACCAAACCAAAGTACCACAGACCAAGGACTCGTATTACTCTCTCTCGCTCTCCCAGCAAAAGAAGGTCGCAATTTTCAAAGGGGGCTAAAACAGCTTTTGGCGAGCTCCGATGAGTGAGTGAGTGAGTGATGAATGAATGAATGAATGAATGAATGAATGCAACCGGGGAGCGAGCGAGCGAATTGTTGGGAAATTTTTATACGCGCAAGGAGGAGGAGCCCAGAGAGATTTCCCTGAATCCAAAAACCTCTTTTGACCATTCAAAGGGAGGAGTCATGGGGGTGTGTTCTTGCTTGGCGAGATCTCGCGCGCAGAGCTAGCTGGGATGTTGGAGGACTGACCGACTTTATAAAAACACGCTCTTTTGTTTGGAGAGCATTGTTTATACAATTGAGGAGCGCGAGATGGAAGAAGAAGAAGAAGACGACGAGGAAGAATGAAAACAATGCAGGGCTTCTTAATGCACAGCACAGATTATGCTGCTGCCAGGAGCCAGTGCGTGCAAATCGCGAAGAAAAACAAACCATGTTTTAGAGAACCCATGACACAAAACACCCACCTTTAGCGAGAGATCTTCCTTAGAACTTGTGAACGTAAGAGTCGGGATTTGTTATCTTTGTTTGATCCGGATCTCTTAGGAGATCGAGAGCGAGCGAGCGAACAAGCGCGTGATCGATCGAGAAAGAGAGAAGGCCGGAAAGGCTCTTGATGCAAAGCTAACATCTCCTCCATGGTTTATATAGTCCCCGTCTCTTGGAGGCTGGGATATTCGTGGGCGAATATGCTGCTGGCTTGCACAGGGACATGATCATCATCGTTATCAGGCAACAAGGAAGCATTGTTGGAAATTGTTTCAGTGTTTTGCCGCTGTTCATCCATGTCGTCACGACTCCATCTTCCTCGTTCTCTCTCACTTGCATGGCCCGGCACCAGACACGGACTCGTTCGTCTATAAACGCCACCGCCACCGCCGCCACAGCCACCGCCAATTTACAAAGTAAAAACTTGTTCCATTCCATTCCTCTCGCCATGGATCGAAGGAGAGAACCGAAGTTCCACCACCCAAGTTTAAAGGAGGTGGCCCAGATTTACATGCGTAAGACACCAAGCACAAGTTTCTATCTCACTTGATGACCCAAGGTGGCATTTAATGACCAGGGGACCAAACCCAAAAGAAAAATAAAAAAAAATTCACTCGGGGAGGCTTTGACTGGTCAACCCATTGACCGCGTAGAATGTACGACACGACCTCCTCCAAATCTAGGAGGCCTACCGCACGTGAGATGGGCCACTCCGCCAGCCACAGCCAGCCAAACAAATGCCCTAATTACTCGCACTCCGCCACCCTGCAGCGTGGATTTATGGCAAATGCTTTTGCGCAGCGTCGCAGGAAACACGAAAGGAGGAGTTGTGCAAGCGAGCTAGCGAGCGCCGAGGAGGAACAAAAGTAACAGCGACTGGAATGGAGAAGGATTGCCAGGAATGCGACCACCATTTTATCTTCCACCACCTTTTCTCTTCTTTGTTTTCTCTGTTTGTTTGTGATATGAACTATCTTTTTAAGCATGGTCCGGGGACCCCGGGATTGCATGAGTGATCCACTCAACCGAAATCTCTCCCCGCCTTGTTTGTGTTGCGTTGTTTATTGGTACGGAGGGCTCTTTCTTTGGGAGACAGGATCCCCGTCCTGGGGATGGATCGAATCTAGCGAGAGAGATTGAATAATACTCCGCAAGCTCTAAAGGGGGGCCAGCAGCACGCGTTTACAGGATGAGGATTACAGGCTCACCGCAGCTCTGGCCGGACGGGGCTTTGGTGGTAGTTACGGAAACTCACAGAACATTCGTTTGTTTTGTGGAGAAAATGGTCCTTTTCATCAGAAGCGTAATCTATTCAAGTTATTTTATAAGGTTGTGCAACATGAGATGAACAGAGTGTTGCTGCTGCTGTTGTTGTTGGGTTTGTGCTGTTGCTGTTTGTCCAATCCAGCCAAGCGTGCAAGTGATGTACCACTGTTGCAATTGACATCGTCCTAGGTGCTTTTTGCACAACCACCGTTGACACATCAAATCGTCGCAAAAGCACCGTGCTGTCAGCATGCCACCCAACAACCAGCAAACAATAAGCAGCCACAGCAGCAACCCCCCGCCCCCTCTCCACAGCGCCCACGCTCGCCTCCAAAAACCTCTAAACTTACAAAACCACTCGGGTGATCAAGCAAAACAGTGGGCTGATCAAGGGCGGTGGAGATGATTACGTGAATGATTGGGTTGGCATGCATGATTGGTGGCATAGTATAGCCTAACACGATGTGTGTGAAGCTTGTGTGTGCCAAGCCAGGAACCCCACTCGGTGGATCCCTTTTCGTTTCTTCCAGTGCGTTCAATGAAATGCACAGTTGATTCATGAGTTTGCACAGCCCCCACCGATGGATGGATGGATGAACGCTCGCCAACGACGTGATAGCTATCTTGTCGTATAGCGAGTACGGCACGACGGGAATTGGAGTGCATTGAAGCATAGCGGAGGAACAGGCCGTACCATATTCTTCCTGTCTATGTGGGTTTTGTTGTTGTTGTTGATGATGATGATGAAGAAGCGGGATGCTTTTTGGTAATAGTACTAGTTGCTTTGCTGCTGCTGGCTGCTGCTGGCTGCTGCGGCTGGCTGCTCTGGTGCTGTCGCTGCTGCTCTCGCTATACGCCGATTTTTTTACACAGTGGTGGTGTGTGTTTTTGTGGTTGGCTGGTTTTTATGAGGGGGAAAGATCGGCCGGCCCAGACGTGGAATCTTGAATAGTCGCGTTCGTCCAAGTGTTGTGCTTTCTTATGTGAGGCTCTTTAGCAGACAAGTCTTGCAAGGCCAGCCAACAAAGCGATGTCTTTTACGCATTTGGAAGTGGGGGAAATGTCTGGCTGTGCCGGCAGAAAAGACGGGGCTTGTCGGGTGTGTACCCAACGTGCCCAGCTGGTCTGGCAGGGCAGGCCCCGGGCAATGGACCCCCTCGCTCGCCCATGAACCCTATTCGCGCCCTCGTCGCCTCCGCCACCTTTTGTTCTAATGCGGGTCAACCCCCTGTGGACATTGTTGAGATTCCGCGGGGGCGCAATTTGCTGGTGGAGGAGCAAGCAAGCACAGAGAAACATGTAGATGGCGCAGTAACTTGTGTGTTGTCCTGTCTCTTTGACCCCGTGATCTTGTACAGCTTCGTCGATTCGCAAATCACCTCTTGCGGAGGGGAGAATCTTTGAGTTTTCGCGCTTGGCGGTTGCTTGGAACTCTGGATCTTCTATTGCGACGAATTCTCTTCTCTTTCTAAGTTCCTGTGCTGGCTACTTGAGAGCCTTAAAGTTGGTCGTTTTTTTCTTTCTTTTTCTTTCCAGGTTGATGTGAGCTGCCCTTGTTTGATCCGAACCGAGCACATCGATCCATTCGGGCTCGAAACTTCTGGGCGCGCACGAAAACGATGTGAGAGGGGAGGAGTAAATTTGTGCTGTGCTCCCTCACTTTCTTCGCCTTGATGGCGTCGAGGAGAGTACGGTGGTCCTGCATGTCGACGGCCGAAAGCCGACGTGCAGAGAACTAAGGAATCACGCCTTTGAAACTCAGCAAACTCACCAGTGCCAAACTTTTTCTTACACACACAATGGCTTAATGTTACGTACCCGGAACAACAAAGAAGTCATCCCGCCATGGAATCGTCCCGTACGTAGGTACGGACCCCTGAAAGAGCAACGTTTTAGCGGCGTTTTGAGGAAGTTCCTCCGCAGTTCGAGTTGATCACGCTGTACGTTTGCCCCCGCCCCCCCCCAACATTGACTCCGCATCCATAGGCCTGCTAAGTTTAAGCCGTCGATCGACACACGACTCTTGTGGATTCCATTGGAAAGGAGTGAAAAAGTCCAATGCTTTTGTTTCTCCACGATCACCGATCGGCTAGTGGGCCTTGATCCCCCAGGGTCCATGTCTAGCTGTGTCAAACACGATCAAAGGCTTACGAATCAAAGCAATATCCGCGGACAAACGAAAGTCTCCCATTCCAAAGTTGAATCGCGAGCATTCGCTTGCGCATGGCTTCGGTCATTCTCAACACGTGGTTTGGATCTAGATTGTTTGGAAGTCAAGATTGGAGAAAGGTCAGAGCTTTTTACGTGCTAAGTGTCAATCCAATGCTACAACTTGCAAGGCTAGCATTTGCTGTAGCCTAAAACTCATGTGTACGTGCCAACTTGAAAGATGGCCATGCATGGCATTTGCTGTAGCCTAAAGCGTCCGCACGTGTTTAGTGAATAAGTCGTCCATCGTCCTTCGCCGGTGCCGAACTCTTCCACAGCTCAACTAGATCCACGCCGCGCTCATCATCGATCGAGACCACGATGTGGTCGTTGCCAATCTCCTCCTCCAAGCCTACGCCGACGATGCTTTCCATATCTTCCTGGCGATGTGGCAAAGGAACGTCTTCTCCGGTCTCTTGGAAGAGGCGATTATCCTGTTCGCGGGAATGCCCCACCGGGATCCGGTGTGTTGGAACGGGATGATTAGGAGCTCCAGCCCGGATTTCATTGCTAATCTCTTCCTCAGGATTGTGGCAATGATCCGGAATCGCGGAGGCGATGGAATTCTTTTGGGGATGCCAGATCGTAGCGAACTGTCCTGGAATCTAGCAATCGCAGCAGTTGCCATTAATGGGCAAATTTCTGCAAGCGTTTCTTTCCTTTTTACGATGACAATGTGGAGTTTGATTGCTTTCAACACGATCCTCCACTCTTGTGTTGCGCACTGCAATTACGACTCAGCGCTTGATCTCTTGAAAAAAATGCCAATTGTGAATGAAATCTCAGGCAGCGCTGCAATCACAGCATTGCCGCCAAGGGGCAAATGGATAGCGCTTGCGCAATGTTTTGGGCGATCATCCAGCGGAGCGTGATGCTGTGGATGACCATGGCTGTCGCACTGTTTCGTTTCGAACGCATAGATCTTGGATGGACTGTTCGCCGCTGTGGACAAGTTCTTCCTGGAACTCGTTTCTTCCAGCAAGTGCCAGTAGAGGGCATCTTGTTCCAGATCTTCCCGAGAGGATTTTCAAGGAGCTGCTTCCTGCCAGAGATTTGATATCGTGGAACACGATACTGATGGCGCTGTGCGATCACCAACGCGTGGACCGAGAGTGGCGATCTTCGGAGGAGCTCCAATGTGGGGTCTTGTGACCTGGAACACGATGCTCGGGGCATCGGGCGAGAGGATGACGACGATGTTCGATTCGATGCCACAGAGAGACGTGATCTCCTGGACCGTTTTGATCACTACGGCCTTGGCGCAATCGATCTTCGAGAAGATGCCGCAGAGGAGCGTCGTGCCGTGGACAGCAATGATCCAAGCCTTTGCCAATCGAGGGGATTTGCATCGAGCGAGAGATTGCTTCGAGCAAATGCCCGAGTACAATCTGGAACGCGATGATCCACGCGTGTGGAAGCGCTGGGATGATCGCGATCGCGACGAGATCTCGTGGAACACTGTCCTGGCAGCACTTGCCAGCGATGGAGATCATCATCACTCGAGGGCATGTGGATGAAGCTTCGTGGCCGTGCTGCTCGGCCGATCACGCCACCGGCGGCTTGATTCTCGACGAGCATGGGTTTGGATCACAGGTCGCCACGGCAATGCCCTGGGCCAGATCCACAGCTCTTCCAGCGACTGCAATCCATCCATCCCAATCCGGCGCTGTGGTCCGTTCCACAAATCGATCGCGCTGGGCATTGCCTCTGATGGTGTCACATTCTTGGCGCTTCTCCCGTGCTGCGGTCACACGGGTCTGGTCGATCGAGGCGTGGAGCTGCTGCGGTCCATGGCGGGCAATTTCGGGGTTGGCTGTGCTGGATCTGCTGGGGCGGCAGAGTAGAAGGAGCCATGAGCGCTGCCGTGAGCCGGGCGAGTGGCTGCAGCTCGGGACGATGCTACAAAGCCCTAACGTGTAGAACCCTAATTAGGGTTCTTGCGGGCGATGGAGAAGCGGATGCTGCTCCTCACGCTGCTCGTGCTGCTGCTTCTGGGATCGATCGACGCGCAGATCTCCAAGCCGATTGCTCACGACTCCAATGTGGAGGAGAGCGTCAAGCAGAACAAATTCCGCAGCCGCGAGGCCAGCGACGATCTTCTCGGCTATCCAAACCTGTGAGTACTTTTTTACCTCGCTTTCTTGCTTAGCTGCATTCCTTGATCGATTGGAAATTTTCCTCTTACCAATAGTTTTTTTTTTTTCCCATCTAGAGACGAAGAAGCTTTGGCGAACACGCAGTGTCCGAGGAACTTAGAATTGCGATGGCAGGCAGAAGCGAGCGCAAGCATCTACGCTGCTCCTCTCATCGCAGACATCAACGGGTGAGTATCCTTGTTTCTTTCTCTTGATGCGAAGAAAACTGTGGATTGATTTGATACAAGGGATGGGAAACTGGACATTGTTGTGCCGTCTTTCGTTCACTACCTCGATGTTCTTGAAGGAGCAGATGGGGAAAAAATGCAAGGTGTGTTGAGTCGTGGAGCTTGATGGTGCTACTGATTTATGCTTGTCCTCGCTGCTTAGGATGGCCGGCTTATCACCAATCCACAGTGCATTCCAGTCCCTTGCTTTACGATATTGACAAGGATGGATATAAGGAAATTCTTTTGCCGACTTACAACGGAGAAGTTCTTATGTTCCGGTAACTTGAAGCAAAAGTTTGAAGCTCAAAACAAGTTTTGCTCTTTTTTGCTTTGTCAAGTTCGTCGGGCTATCCGATAAATGAGAAGATCACAGTTCCAAGGTTACGGGTTCGAAAGGACTGGTATGTTGGATTGAGTCCTGACCATGTGGACCGATCTCATCCTGATGTTCACGATGATGGTTTAGTGATTCCTTCTCCTCCTGGTACGTATCAATGTCTCTGTGTAAAATCCATTCGCTCTTGTTTAGCTCTTGCGGCTTGCAGGCGTGTCAAGTGACCACGCGGTAGCGAATGCTTCTAGTACCATCGCCACGAAGGATGGACAGAACGGTTCTAGTACTATCGAGACGAAGGATGGACAGAACGGTAGCTCTCCCGGCAATGTTTCGGGAAAACTGGACAACTCAACCTTAAGCAACACTCCGGAGACATTGAACGTTTCAGCAACTGCAACTGCAGGGAATGGATCGGCTACTTTGAAAGTTAGTGACGTCGCTGAAGCTGGGTCAGAACTTCGCATGGGTACTACAAGTCCGAATAACACGCAGGGAACACAGAGACGGCTTCTCCAACAGGAAGCCACAGCCGGTGACAACCGAGAGAAACTGGAAGCGGATGCAGAGGCCACGTTTGATGTTTTCCGTGATAAGGGAGGGCTGAGTGACGAGTATGCTTACGATTATGACGACTACGTAGACGAATCGATGTGGACCGATGATCACTGGGTTCAGGCTGTCCACGAAAGGGAAGAAGACTTTATCGACATAGACGCACATATTCTTTGCACACCGGTAAGTGTGTCTTGTTTGGTTTTTGGCAGATGGCTAATATTGCCACTGTCTCCAGGTGATTGCAGACATTGACAAGGATGGAGTCGACGAACTTATTGTTGCTGCTTCCTTTTTCTTTGATCGTGAGTAAGCTCTCCTGCCGCTTTTCAACCTTGCATTTGGTAGCACAGGTATTCATTCTTTCTTTGCAGGTATTACGAAGCAAATCCTGACTTGCTCAGCAAGGATGTCGATATTAGCAAATACGTTGCTGGAGCCATCTTCGTTTTTAGTTTGGACACGAAACAAGTCAAGTGGAAAATACATTTCGACCTTAGTACCGATTCTGTGGCGTTCCGTGCGTATATCTATTCATCGCCGACGGTAGTCGACCTGGATGGCGATGGATACCTCAGTATCGTAGTTGGGACATCCTTCGGATTCGTTTATGCTCTGCATTACAACGGTAATACTTGGTTTTTTTTTCTGTTCTCTCGCAGGCCTCAGAAACTTTTCCTTAACTTGTTTTGTTTGCAATCCAGGTATTGTAAGGAAAAACTTCCCGCTACAAATGGGAGAGATTCACGCCCAGGTTGTTGCGGCTGACGTAAACGACGATGGGAAAGTCGAGATTGTCACCGCTGACACAAGAGGCAATGTTGTTGCCTGGGAGACCGATGGCAAGCTATTGTGGGAAGTTCATCTCAAGAGTATGATAGCTCAAGTAAGTTTTTGATTCGTTTCTCTAGTTTTTGAAACAAACTTGTCTTTGCAGGCGCCGACTGTGGGCGATGTGAATGGCGATGGAATAACTGACGTGGTTGTTCCGACTGCTTCAGGCAACATCTACGTTTTGAAGGGCACCGACGGCTCATATGTTCCCCCGTTTCCGTTCCGTACGCACGGCCGGATCATGGCTTCGGTGTTGCTACTTGATTTTGGTAACAAGGAATCGGAGCAAGCCGACGTGGTCTTGGTTGCAACTTCGTTCGATGGCTACCTGTACATTATCGATGGGAAAACTGGCTGTGCCGACGCAACAGATATTGGAGAAACATCGTAAGCCTCGAGAGCTGCTCGTGATTACGTACTGTTTCTTTTTTTCGTTACAGATATACCATGGTTTTAGTGGAGAATGTTGACGGAGGCGACGATCTCGATCTGATAGTTACAACCATGAATGGAAACGTCTACTGTTTCCAAACCCCAGTGAAACACCACCCCTTGAAGGTATGAATGTGCATTGCCTCGTGTATTCAAAGTGATCTTATCTCCATTTGCAGGCATGGCCGACAGCAAACCAGGGGAGGAACGTCCTGTCACCTCGCTACAATCGCGAAGGCGTTTATGCTCTACCTTCGTCCAGAAAGTTTCGAGACGAAGCCGGCGAGAGCTTCTGGGTGGTGTTTAAAATCGTGGATCAGCACAACTTGCACGGGCCTTACAACGTGACTGTAAGTTCCTCCTCGAAGCTCGGCCTTTCCATTTCTCCAAAACTTATCCTTTGTTTCTCTCGCACAGCTGACGCTCTTGGTCCCGGGGAACTACCACGAGCCTCGAAGGATCACGCAGTGGCATCGCTACGATCAACCGGGGGTCCAGAAGCTCAAAGTCCCGTGCGTGCCAATCCGGAGCACTGGAACAGTGACGCTGGAGATGGTGGACAGGCACGGCCTCGCTTTCACCGACGAATTCTCGCTAACGTTCCATATGCACTACTATCGACTCCTCAAATGGTTCGTGGTTCTACCATTGCTGGGAATGCTTGTAGCCATCGTTGGTCTTCATCCCGAAGATCACGTCTCGCTACCTTCTTTCTCTTCCAATGGTAGGCACCAAATGTAGGAACCATGGTTGAAGTTAACTCTTGTCAAGGATTAAAAGTAAACTCTAGTTAATTTTCCTAAAACCCTAGCTATGGCGGCCATTTGACGAGCGCTCTCTCTGGCGGTCGTGATGGCGCCTCTCCCACTTATCGGTGAGTTTCTTCGCAGATTTCTCGAGGTTAAGTTGATTCGTCGCGGCGATCGCAGTGCGGAGCGCCGAAGGGCTGACGCTGCTAGGCGGCGAGAGCGAGAAGCTGCAGAGGTAGAATTTTGGTTTCTTGACGTTTCTTAGCTCTCACACATTCTTCGCATTCTTCCATTTGCGAAGGCTTGCTTGCGCTGGAGCATCGGTTAGCAAGGATGGAAGCGAGCTAGCTGTGATCACTGGCGATGGAGTGGATGTCTTTGATCCAGTGACTTGCAACAAAATCCAATCTTTTCGGTTGGACGTTGTTGTTGCTGCTGTCTTCTCGTCGGCCGGATCGTTTCTACAGATCTTTCGAAAGGCAACCGGTCCGGAAGACAAGAATGTTGGCATCTGGGACGTGAAAACTGGGGAGGCAGTGGTTCTCTTCTATCAGAAAAACTTTTCAAAGTCAAGCTGGTAAGAAAACTTTTTTCTTCCTTTCTTCTTGTTTATAGTCTTGAATTCTTTTGGTTGTGTTTACAGGCCGATTCTCCAGTTCAGCGACGACGATTCTGTGGCTTGCCGGCTTGCAACCAACTCGGTCCAGATCTACGATGCCAAAAACTTTGCAAAGGGTGCTGTCGATCATTTGCGTTTGCCTGGAATTCAAGCTGTGAAACTTTCTCCAGCTTCTCCGTCCTATCTCGCAACGTTTATTCCGGAGAGCAAGGTTTTAACTTACGACGATCTTTCTCATATCTTACATGGTTTTCTGGTTTTATCAGGGACAACCGGCCGTGGTGCAAATATATGATCGTAAAGAGGCTAGCAAATGTCAAGCACTGGCTCGACGTAGCTTCTTTAAGTCGAGTAGCGTCACCATGACTTGGAACGCGGGCTCGACCGGATTGCTTGTGCTAGCGGTCACTGACGACGATAAATCCAACCAAAGCTACTACGGCGACACCAAATTGTATTACTTGAAAAGCGATGGGACTTGTGAAGGGACGGTTCCTCTGAGTAAGTTCATGTTTGTTCTAGCTCTTTAATGTGATGAATCTTGTGCAGACAAAGAGGGGCCTATCCATGACGCTCAGTGGTCCCCGACCGGCAAAGAGTTTATTGTCGTCTATGGCTGTATCCTTTCAACCGTTTTATATCTATACTGTATCACTTAACGAGACGTCCAGACATGCCTGCTAAAGCTGCTCTCTTCGATACACAATGCCGGCAGGTTTTTGATTTTGGATCTGGACCTTATAACACCGTGCGGTGGAATCCCTTTGGAAGCTGTATCCTTGTGGCGTTTCTTTTCTTTTTTGTACTTTGGCTAGTTCTTCCTGACAGGTTCAAGTTATCTGTTTGGCTGGGTTCGGGAATCTTCCGGGTGATATGGTAAGCAATAAGTGTTTTATGATACACTGCTTATCTTTGCCACTTCTTCTTCAGGTGTTTTGGGACCGGAACACGCTAAAATCGATTGGAAACACGAAATCTCCCTGCTCAGTAACGTGTGAATGGGCACCCGATGGCCGGCTACTGATGACGGCCACGACCGCTCCTCGAATGCGAGTCGATAACGGGTATATGTTTGCTATTTTACGTGAGTGGCGATTACCTCGACTTGCAACATCAGGATAAGGATCTTCAAGTACACGGGAGCTCTGTTGGAGGAACAAAAGATCAACGATCTTTATCAAGTGAGTGCTTGGTTATATTTTGCTTTAGATGTAATATTTCCTCGTTTGTTTCATCAGGCGGACTGGCTGCCTGGACAGTATGTTGAGAGGCCAGCTTCGCCAGTTTCTGCCAAGAGTTCACAAAAAGAAAAACAACCATCTGGTATGTTTTTGATTATAAAAAAAAATAAAATTCTTTACTCGGTTTGTTCTATGCTTTTTAGCGGCTGCTATAGCCAAACCTGCAGCTTACCGTCCACCTCATTCAAGCATGTCGGCGTCAGTGCGTGCTCAGGTAAGTAATCAGAACAAATCGGGCTGTATTACGTGATGGAAAACTCTGTTGCAGCTATTTGGTGAAGAGGACTCCAATGCTGGAAGGTTTGGAGCAAATCCTTTTGTCTGAACTTTTTCTAACTTTTTTTTTTTTTGCGAACCCAGTGGGTTGAGCAAATCGGCTCTTAAGAACAAAAAGCGACGTGAGAAACAGAAAGAAAAGTCTGAAACACTTCCCGACGCACCAGTGAGTAGTAGTTCATTCTTTTTCTGCAGCTAACTCCTTTCATCCCTGGTTCTAGGAAGTCGTGAAGGAGGTCAACAGTGAGACATCTTCAGGTGAGACTGAGAGTCGTTTAAACTGCCTTTTGCTGTGCTCAGAAATTTAGCTTACAGGAGATGAGTTTGCGAAGAAAATTCGAGCTCTGAACAAGAAGCTGCGGCAGATAGAGGAACTCAAGAACAAGTTAAGTGGGCAGACGCCATCTCAAGAACAGAAGAGCAAGCTTCAGCAGGAGGCGTTATTGAGGGAAGAAATCAGGAAATTGGAGCTCTCTTCATAGATGGTTCTGCCTGGAATGAAGTTTTGTTTCGACAGTTAAACGCTGGTGATTCGGAAACTCAAACGCGATCAAGCGTGTACAGGTTCTTGAATTTCTTTCGCTGTCTTTATTCATTCTTATGGTTTGTTTATTGTTCAGGATGAAGCAGCGCGTCCTAGTACCAATCTGCAAAGCTGAAGAGAGATTTCTAATGACATAGCCTTTTCAATTCGAACAATTTTTAGTCATTACAGCTTGACTTGGCTGGTTCTCATTTTGGTTTTAGCTTGCCTGGCAGGTCCAAAAGTTCTTGTACCATGGAGCACTAGTCGAGGTAGAGATCGATTCATGGAAGGCTTCTCAATTGTTTTTTCTCCCTTTTTCCAGTGCAAGGATACTACTCTCCAGGAAGTGACAACACTCATGTTAGTTTTTTAAGTCAACGGGATTTTATTCGCAAGGAAAAAAGATCGTACTGCCTTCCCAGGTCGGTAGGGTTTGATAGTTTTTGATATGAAGAGGTGCTAGCTCGACTGATTTTTCCATTGGCAGTGCTATGGCGATTGTAGGAACGACGAGCTTTCCTCGTGTTTACGCAAATGGAGATAAGGGGAGAATTAGGGAAAGTGGTAGCATGGCGGTGACAAGTCGTCCGCGAACTTCATGGCTGTCGGTCTACAAGATCTCCGACACCATCTGGAAGAGGATCATCCACTTCCGGGGGCAGCCAACTTCGTCGAGCGTCACAATTGTCGCGGACAAGAGGAGCAAGAGCGATGAGAAGCAGGAGGACAAGATTGCGGCAGTGGTAGCCGACCAAGCCGACCCTTCGGTCGCTTGGGAGCAAAGGGTCAAAGACGTGGAAGCCGAGAAGCGGCGTCGAGCGCTGCTCAACCCGGGATTTAGCTTCTCAGCTGCTGGGCTTTTGTTCCCTTACCACCTGGGCGTGTGCCAGTGCCTCATGGAGCGGAACTATATCACGGTACGATCGAGCTCCAACTCTTCTCCATTTTCTGCTTTTCTATCTTCGCAGGAGGATACTCCTTTAGCTGGATCGTCGGCTGGAGCGCTCGTTTGCGCTGTTGTAGCGGCAGGGATGAGCATGCAAGACGCACTGGTCGCAACCAAGGATCTAGCACAAGATTGTCGTGCCAACGGGACCGCTTTCAGGCTCGGGGTAAGAGAGATCTCTCGAGGTACTGAGTCTGTGTCTAGTTTGCTCAGAGCTCCTCTTTATTGTCTCCGTCACTAGGCTGTGCTGAGGAGAGTTTTGTACAAAGTTATGCCCGATGACGCGCACGTTAAGGCGAGCGGGAGGATCAGAGGTATGGAGCTGTCTCTTTTCTCTCTCCCTTGTGTCATGCTAAGTTCACTACTTCTCTCTGCAGTTGCAATCACGCAACTCTTTCGAGTACCAAGAGGCCTGCTCGTTGACCAGTTTGATTCCAAAGAAGATCTGATCAACGCGTTGCTTACGTCGTGTTTCATTCCCGGGTAAGTAGTTTGCTCTTGCGTTCCATTAAGATGGGAGCTTGACTGGTTTTTAGTTATCTAGCACCACGACCTGTTACCGTCTTCAAGAACAGACTGTGCATCGACGGCGGGTTCACGCTCTTCATGCCCCCTTCAGCTGCTGAAACAACGGTTCTTTCGTGTCACTTGCTAAGATTCGAGTTGGCTTCTGAAACTTTCGCTTTGCTTTTACACAGGTACGAGTGTGTGCCTTTTCTGCCAAGCGCCTCGGTCTTCAAGACACAGTGGGTATCAGCCCGGACTGTAATCCCGACAACCGAGCCTCTCCAAGACAGGTACAGAAATAATAAAGGTATTTAGTAAATTTCTCGACTGTTTTGCAGCTTTTAAACTGGGCTTTAGAACCGGCTGGAGATGCAGTATTAGATGAGCTCTATGTCCTGGGCTACAAGGATGCTGCAGTGTGGGCAAATGCAAATCCTTTGATCAATTTTAGAGGCAAGGCAGCAGCTGCTCCAGTTTGAAGATGCAACAAACGATTGCTGTATCATACTAGAGGCATTCATGCGAAGGTAAGAAAGGAAATATAGAGATTCTTTGGGACACCATTCTCTAGAGACTAGCATTTGTACACAAAAGTTCCTTGTTCTACATGGTTGTCAAAAGAATCAAACGTTGTCAAAAGAAACAAACAAGAAACTACGTGTGAAGCTTCATGGTCAGTTGTGTGACTTTGTCAATCGCGTTCTATTTTCCCAGCCCACGTTTGAGAATTTTCCAGTCAAGCGCGTAGGTACCGGGAAGGCGGGCGGCTTCCTGGTATAAAAGCCCAACCAGGGAAACCCAGACAATTCATCGATCCCAGTCTGCAATCTTCCATCCTCTAGCCTGAAATTTGAGATTTTCTCTTTTTCTTCATAACACCCATGGCAAGTTCATATCCAAAGGACAAGATTGCATTCCTGTACATCCACAGAGAGAGTGGTGAGATTGGCTTCGTCTCACAATCTGCGTCCAGGCATGTCCCAGTACTAGCAGCAAAGTGTGATTTCTTGTTCTCCTCCATGGTCGCGAGTGACAAGGCGGAAGATTTAGAGGCTGCTAAGCAGGCCACACGCTCAGTTGCTCCAGAGATGAACAAGTACACCATTTCCATGCTTGGAGCAGCAGCTGACCAGGAGTGGACAGCCACCGTCTACGAGAGATACATTGGGAACGGGTTCGAGGGCGTGGTTTTCATCCAGGATCCCAATCTCCAGGAGGAGGACAGCGAGAGCATGAGCTATCTGGCCTCTCTGCTGCTGGACAACGGCGTCATGACCAGAGATTGCCTTCTGGAGCCCTCCAGCTCGCACACACCTCAAGAGGTGGACGACATCACCTCCCAAGTTGTGGACATCATCGAGAAGAATTACATCCACTTCCCAAAGCACGACCAGTGGTTCACAAGTGGGGGCAAGCAGAGGTTTGCGGACAAGGTGAGGTACCACGTCGCAAGAAACATTCCACTCGAGTTCGTCTTGCCCGCATTTCCAGTCAAGTCGTGCAATCCCGACAAGACTCTGGGAAAGTGCCCGGACAAGGCCGAGGAGCTGGCCATCCATTCCATGAAGATTGTTGCGGATCTCATCAAGGCCGTGTATGCTCCAGGCGTGCACTACAACGTCGCCTCGGATGGCCATGTCTTCTCTGATCTCGTCGGCTCGGACGACGCTGCTGTGGATTCTTACGGCGAGATGTTTTGGGAGATGGCACACAATCTGTATCCCGGCCTTGTCAATTTCTTTCGCCTGGATGAGTTTCTGCTGGACAACCACAGTGACAAAGACATTGCAAAGCTTATCTCCAACACCACCGTGGAGCATCCCGTTGCGACTGAGCTCACCGCCAATGCAGAGAATGCCAGGCGAGCTCTCATGTGCTTGTTTGGATGTGACGAGTCAACCGTCACCAAGGAGATCAAGGAGGACCCGGAGACACGCAATCTATATCGTGGCTTCTCCAGGTTCATGCTCGAGGACTTGTACGAACACAAGAGCTGCAAGAATCTCCCGTCAAAGTCGGCCAAGAAGAAGCTGTGCAGCCAGGTTGCCTTCCTCATGATCCTCAGGAACCGTGCATACTCGGCCATGGTGGAGTGGCTCTTCCCTTTGCAGCTGCGCATTTCCATCCACCCGCATCCAAACAGAGGTCCCAAGTATGGCATCAACATCATCCATTCCTCTCTAGTGGCAGCGCAGCGTTCTTCCGAGGAGAAGAACTTCCACATCCCAACACCATGGCACAACGCGGTGGTGGAGCTGGCAGATGGCAAGTTCATGCTGCTGCACTCCAAAGTCATCCGAGGTTCGAGTATGCAGGCCACAGAAATGGCCTGTGAGCAGCTCGAGTTGAGTCAACAGTTGGTTCTCAAGCGTCAAGGCTACAGAATGACGCTGGTGACATATCCAGACGGCAGACCCAGCCACTACAGGCAGGTCAGTGTCTGCTAATATGTGATAGACGGTTTTGATTCTGGGTAAATTCCCTCAGGCCCATTTTTTTGTAAATTTTAAAAAGAGTAAATACCATTTTCTCTCTCACTTCTTTGTCTCCATCTGGAATTCTAAAAATGAACCGTACAAACAGAAGAAATAGAGAACATATTGTTGACTGTATAGTGCTTCCTCTGTTACTACAAATATATGAATACCATTACAGCAGTATAGGGGTCACTACTAACTTTGACAATCTTTTACTTCCGCTCCTTCTCTGGATCAATGTTGTGAAGAAGAAGCCCTGGATTGAAAATTCCTCAATACCGACACTATTCACCGCCTAAGTTTTACGCTGTGTATATTTCAGTCCAATTTTGTAAGCGGCTCAAGCTGCACAACACGTTACATGCTTCGCTCCAGCGTAGGCCATCCTGTCTCCATAAGGACGAGACGTGGTCTTTGGCAACTTGAGAACTTTAGGATGTGTTTGACAAGCCTTCTTTTTGAAACAAAGGTTTTTGCAGGACAATGTCATACGTCATCTATAGTCAAGTGGAATTTGTGGTCAAAGAATGTTTGCTACTCGTTTTGCGTTATACGGTATTTATGCATCATTTTAAACACGTGTTTTAAGAGCAGGAAAGCAGCAAGAAGCTACCTGTTTTCTTTATGCAAAGTCTCAACCGTCTGATATATAAAATGTAACTATGGTTCTTGTCAGAATTAGATGGCCTGACTTTCTATGGCAAGTTTGGATTCACATCAGATTCTCTTCTTTTTATGGAGCTTGCTTCCCTGGTATTTGTTTTCTTCTTTGTTGACTTACATAGTTCAAGTATACATTACCATGGTAAAGGAGTTCCAGTGCAAACTATCAGAGCGAGATATGTACTGTAGGCCCGTGCTTTGCCACCATTGCCTCCATCATACCAGTGCTTCACCCTTGCATTCAGCTCCATCGTTGTACAACTCAGACCACTCGCTAACCAAAATTCGAATGACTGCATACTAGGTAAAGTCATGCCGCTGCCAATGGCTAACCTGTTCATTCTTTTTCTTGGCCGTACATCATGTACCTCCTCATGATTAACAATTTTATTCATAAACATTCACATGGTTTTGTTTGTGTGGCTTATATTAAATTACTATGAATATACCTTGAAAGCAACCTGGGGGTTGTAACGTATGGCTGTGCTAAACACCCATGACTGGATTTCCATGGAAATAGCAGACATTTTGTGTCATCAAGATGCCAGGTATGTGAAGCACTCAATGTGGAATCAAAAGTCAAGTGGGGCTTCCCAGGGACATGAGGAGTGGCCTCGTTTGCATTGAGGACTGGGGCCCCCAGTATGCTTGACCTCATGCCACAGACAACACTCTCAATGCTGTTGGAGAAAAACTTTTGTCCTTCTGCTATGCAGTATAGGAATGTCAGTGGCCTGGACACACACTGGGAGGCTACACTTGTGAGGCATGGATCCTTGCAAGGCTTACATGGTCTCATACTGTGTGCTGCCTCAGAAACTCTGGATGAGGAGCTCAGCGCGGCCTAGATCAGGGTGCAAGGATTCTCAATGTGAGCGGTGTTATTGCTGAGATCTTAGGCAATTGCACTGCATACAATGGCAAATCCAGCGTGAGCTGGAGTGGACTTGCTGCAAGCTGCAGCTCGTCTCACTGCAGGCTCCAGCTTTGGAGAGCTGCCTCCTGCGAGCTGCACCGCTCGGGGCAGGAGTGCTGTGCCTTCACAGAGATTCATGCGTGTGGCTACAAGCTCTAGTAGATCCAACAATGAGGTATCCTTGGAACATGGCCTATGTCCACACGCCAGCTCCACTCAAACTTCTAGCACCACCCAAGAGCTGTCTTGAGATGGGACCAGTTCCCCAGGACCCTTGGAGTGAGAGAGATTTCCCTGCCAACCAAGGGGTTTCCCACCACCTCTCTACCTATGCAAAACAGAAGAAATTCATCTACCCTTTGGCAGAAAAACATGTATTATTATTCATTATACTATTTATAACATTATAATATCCAAACAACAGATCCCTGAGAAGAATGTGAAGCCACTAGCAACTGCAGGATTCTGGAGCCAACTCTCCTTCTTGTGGCTGAATCCACTGCTCAACTTTGGCCATTCCAGGCTGCTAGAGCTCCAAAACATCCTCAATCTTCCACTAGAGTATAGATTAGATTTTAGAGTAAAGGTGTAATAATATATATGTGAGTGTGTGGAATATGAAAATAGAATATAGAAATATGCATATCAATTAACCCAAAAACACTAATTTAAATATAATAGCGGGTGGTCAAGATTGAAACCAATCTAATGGATATCAAAATCCCAATATGTTAATAATAGTATATGGCATTGTAGTTGTACATTTGGACTTCAAAGCATTGCCTCCTTTTAGAAGGATAGAAGACAGTTAAAGTCTTTTGGTGGATGGGCCGGGATTTAGAAGAATATCAAAAGCAAGCATTTATGGATCTATAAGTGGTGTCAATTGTTCTTGATCCCTTTGTACAAAGCATTTTAATCGCTGCATATACATAATTTTTAAAGGATCAACTTGTTTAACGTTATGTTGAACCTTATAAACTTGTAACACCTGATATGGTCCTTTCTATTAAGTAAGGAGCGCTTTAGATAAACTGTATACTGTAAGATTGGAAATAGATTAACACCAAAACATCCACTTTGTAATTTATAGATGGATGATGATGGGAGTTATAGCACCGTTATTGTTCCATTTATATGTGGCTCAAATGTTTGGTAGACTCTGCTCAGACTAGTGGAAGAATGCTCATCAAATACTGATCTTAAGATATAATATCAACAGTTCGTGGCAATTGCGAAAGTAAACTCAACTTTGTTAACAATATCATATCATGACCATATAAAAGTTTATATAGTGAAAACTTAATAGAACTTTGCACCACTGTAATATATGCATACCAAAAGGATAGCAAATAACCATCTCAATTCGAATGTTAAAAGTTCATGTATTTTGCAATTATCTTTTTGAAGGTTTGTATAAGTTGTTCCACCAAACCATTTGACTATGGATGATAAACACTTGTAAATAGGTGGCATATCCCCAACCAAGATATTAAAACATAAAATGCTTAATCTATAAATGCAAGACTATTATTCAGAGAACCTAGAATGGCAAAGTTCAACCTAGCTCAAGCCTCTATCATTGTCTCCCACAAGATCCACATCCAGG